TTTTTTTTTTTTTTTTTTTTTTAATTTGAGAGAGAGCACAAGTGGGGGAGGAGGGTTAGAAGGACACAGAGAGAATCTTAAGCAGGTCCCATGACCAGCATGGAGCCTGATGTGGGACTCGATCCTATGACCCTGGGATTATGACTGGAGCTGAAATCAAGAGTCGGACTCTCAACCGACTGAGTCACCCAGGCGCCCCCGAGAATCTCCTTTTTAAACAAACTCTTCAGATGATGCTCTTGCATGCCAACTTTGGAGGTTTAAGAATCAGTTTGTTAAGGGAAGGCATTACTCTCTGACTAGAGGGGATACCACTTCTGGCTTCTGAAACCCCAAGGTTAAATTTTGGAAACTCATTCTGGTCCTGGTATATTCAATAATATTGCCCCCCCTCCCCCAAAAGTGGGCTGTGTAGGGTAGCTATGTAATTTATTGTTCAATCTAATTAAGAACCAGCAGCAGAACTGAGGCAGGGACACCACAAACTCTGGACTGAGGGTTAGGCCCATATGACCCTCTTACGGCCATCACGTAAAGAGCAGGGCTTCCCTGAACTCTGCTGCAATCAAATCTATACAGAGGCAACAAGAGATCCACCTATCCTCACATAGCTCAGTTTTCACACAGCCGATGACCCTCTGCAATTTTTACAGAATCACTGTATTTTCAAAGGCTCTAAAGATTCAGATCCATTAGCAAAAAGTTCCAGCTTCCTTCTGAGGGATGATGCATCACCAGCCTTTTATGAGATCACGTCATAGCTCCTAGGATTACGTTGACGAATTGATGACTTCCAGAGAGAAAAGTGGAACAGGCGGCCCATCCACCTGTGGAGTTATGCTGGGAGAACTTCCCAGAGTGATGTTTATTAGGGAGATCCCTAGCTTTCCTTGGAGAATCGCCGAGAATCATAGAACATTAATGGGCTTAAAAGGCAGTCAGAGCTCATTCCGTTGCCTATCCAGGTGAGGAAACTCCGGGCCAGAGCAGTTGAGTGACTTAGTTCAAGGTAAGCCAAGGAAAGACTACACTGATACAGATCTTCTGTCTCCAGAACAGCATTCTGAGTTCTGACACCATAAATGCTTGATGGGGGAAACTCTGACCCCTCTGTTCAGTTGTGTCTCACTCCACACCATTGGCTTAAACTTGCAGTGAGGGGGAGCAGACACTGACCCTTGATCTAATGAAATTCCCAGAGGAGACAAAATATATTAGAAGGGGCGGGGGGAATCTCCCTCTAGACTGCTTGGGATTGGATGTCAGCCCCCCTCGAGTCCAAACATGCTATGCAGCTCTGGGGTCTCCAGAACCCGGCCCGTCCACCGTCTCTTTCACCTCCGGGTGGAGCTGACTGTTCCTGAGCACCTACTAGCAGTCAGACGCTGCCACACACGTGATCTGGGGATCTGGCCTCCTCTGGGTGCTCCTGTAGTAAACGTCTCATCTTGTAGCCTCTGGGCACGGGACTGACGCTGCTCCTGTCCGCTAAGGCTGTTGGCCACGACACGAGGTGGGACGGGCAATGGTCGCGCTGCTGGGGGACTGGTCATTTTCCCGGGTAGTGGATACCTTCTGCTCCAACTAAGCCAACCTCCAGAAAACCTGACAGACTCACGGCGAGGTGGCTGGCTGAGGACACCGTTCGCTAAGCGTTTTGGGGGCTCTGCAACCCGAGCCAAAGTCAAGGCGGAAGGACGGCTCCCGCCCCTCCGGGAGACCCCTCTGCGTCACCGTGACGACCCATTCCCACGCAGGTGTTTCCCCCTCCTCAAAGCAGCCGCCCACCGTCCCCACGCTGTCCCCTTCCTCACCCGCGGCCGCCGCGCCACCGCCTGCTGCACGCGCTCGTTCACTGCCCGAAGTGCGAACCCGACTCCCAGCTCCGCCGACATGCTGCCAGCTCTCCACATCCCCCGGGACGAACGCAGAGCCCCAGACCCGGGAGCCCCCCCAGGCAGAGACCACCTTCCGGTCCCGCCCAGTTCACGGCTGGTGTGACCCAATCGCAGCTCACCACTGAGTCGTCTCACCCAATCGACACCGGGCAGCGCGGGGGCGGGACGGGGGCAGTGTGGCGGGAGGCCCCACCCCGCCGCGGCGGCCATCTTGGGGAGGTCGTCCCGGCCTTACTGGGGACAGCCTGGCCCCGCTCTGGAGGCGGCGCTCCGGAGGCGGGGGTGGGTGTGGGGAGGCCGGCCTGACGTGGTTCCGGTGCCCCCTGGCAAGCCTTGCCAGTCCTCCTGCCTGAGCCACGGTCCCCGTCCCCGCGGGAGCTTCTTGACGCAAAAAACGCGGCCTGTTTCGGGATCCTGGTTCCTTTCTAAAAGACCCACATTTTTGCCGGTCCCTGGCGTTGAGAGAGCTGTGAGTTAAGATTTCTGTGCGCGGGGACCAGGGTTCGAAGCTGCTAGAGCCGGAGACATGGCTGCTGGTGTCTCAGATGAGGCTCGTGAGGAACCCTTAAGAGACAGAAAACAGTTTCTGGAGGAAACGGCACGATTCACTTATATGGTTATTCTTGTCATCCTTGTCACCAGTGCTGTCAAATAGCAATATGATGCGATCCACACATGTATTCAAAGAATTACCAACAGGCGCAGAAAAAGTAAGACATTTTAATGAATACATTAAACACCACGTTAAAACCCAGTACCTCCAAGGTAAGGTTTCGGTATGTAACCAATAGGAAACCTTACTGAGATCTTTCTAAGCGTACGTAATTTACAAAACCCGGTGCAGAGTTTTGACTTACCGCATGCCCCAGTTCGGGCTATCCATTATTTCAAGAGATTGGTGACCACCTGCGGTAGCGCTGCCTTATCAGAGGGCACAGGTGGCCTTGGACCGCCTAGCATGAGCTCCGCACACATTCAGTCCAGTCTTGAGTGTCCTTATGTGTCCAGCTCTGGGCAGTGTGAAGGTCATAAACATGGCGAGGAGCCAAACAACGTAAAGGCTAACACAGTAAAATACGAAGTTTAATAGATGGTGAAATAGTAGGTGCTGTGGGTAGAGAGAATTCTGTTACGGAAAGTGCTTTTGGCTGTACTGTTTAAAGATTCTCAAACGTTTCAACTGGCTGGAGTGGGACGCTATTATGTTGGAGAAAGGGCCAAAGTGCGTCCCCCAGGTTGTCTTGGGGTGACTGGGCTTACTTCAAATCTTCAGGAAATAAAGGGCAATATTCTTTCTTCTATTACCATCTCCCCAGGCCCCAGGAACTGAGATAAAATTTCATATGTTGTGTTCCGGAAAATCACTTTGAGCAGAACCGAGGGTGCTTGCCATCAAGAACTACTTTGGGGGAAGTTTCTGTTTACAGGTAACTGGGGGTATCTGTAAATTAGGGTTGTCAAAATGGCTCTAGACTTGATAATTTCTACTCCTGACAAAATGATAAAAATTTTAAAAATGACTAGAATAATTATTCATGGTGTGTATATAATAGACCCTTGCTCTAGAGAGCTGGAGTTGAAAGGTCTGGGGCTAGGCAGCAGTCACTGGTGAAACAAAAGGGATTACAGTGATGGAGATCATGTTGAAGAGATGTATAGAGGAAGCATTGGGTGAACCTGACATAAAGTGACACGCTATTTGGAAAACATTTAAAAAACCATAAACACCTCATCAGAGCTAAAGGATGTACAATCCAGGCGATAGGTTATTACGATAACAAGTAGGAGCAACTTCATAGGTCAGGTGTCGTCTTTGAATTCTAAGGTCAACCTCCCCCACCCCGGCCTCCACTGTTGAATGTGTGCATGGCTCCCAAAAAGGCATCAGGAGTGTGATTTGAACTTTCAAGTTAATAAGGATAGTGGTGCCAAGATTGGGTAGTGGTGGCACAGGATTGACACACCGAATTTTGGTTTCATTGTTGAACTGGCATCTTGGATAAGTTACTGAAGTTCTTAGTTTTTCTTTTATAAAATGGAGTCACAATCTCCTTCAGAGCTGCAGGGGGGGGATCAATCAAGATAACGTGTTAACACCCTTAGTAGAGTGCTCTGCCAAAGCGAGTGCAAAAACGTTCAACACGTGAGTTCCCCCACCCTTCTTATCTATTCAGTCAACATTTATTGAGGCATTTCTCTGTAAAGGTACCTTTGGAGAGACCAGGATGAGTAAGACAGGCTTTACTACGGATTCATTTCTAAGATGCTTTTCATCGCTAACCTTCTATAACTCTATGGAAATAAATGGAAGTAAAGGCAAAAAGATCAAGGTGACCCCGGTCTCATCATTTCACATTTTCCAATTTCTTTACTTCTTAGCTATGCTTTTGAATGAATTGTATTCCACTTTTTTCTCCTGGTTTTCCTTTTTAATTTCTTCTCTTCCTCTTTCTGGGACATCAACCATGTAATTTATTTAACCTTTCATTCTTCCCTACCACCTAATCCTTAAAAAATGGAAGTCCACAATCACATCATCACCAGCAACTGTCTTTACATTGCTCTGACAGTTTGCAAGGATAAAGGGGAGAAGAGAAAGATTAAAAAGCCAAATACCCAGAGGAACAGATTATATAATTTTATAAAAATCTAGTATACTTATTCATCCTAAAGGCCATCAAGTGTTTAAAAAATTCACCTCTATAGTCTGAGGCCCTGAATTATGGGAAATGCATTCATGGATTTTAAAACTGTTTCCTTCTGCGCATACTGTGATTCTTTCGGGGATAAAAAGAGATAAAATAATAGAAAATTAATGTTGCCTGGTTACTTGGCTCTAAAGAGAAATGGAGAAATAATGTCTGTGCCCCAGTTTAAATGAATTGAGGTAGAGAAACCATGACAACAATCCCTCAGCAAACATACTGTTACATTTGGCTTTTGAAATGTGAATATAGATTCTAGAACCACAGACCTAGGGAGGACCTTTAGAGATCATTTGATCTTTCACAGAGAATTAGAATGACATTTAAACCCTCCAAACAGCATAGAATCTCCCCAGTTTTTGAAAAGCATCAGAGAAAATGTTATTCATGTTAATCCCTGGATTTATTTCCTATTTGCACACAACTACTTTTCTGGATTTCAAATTTTAGCCGGTCTTATCTCAAGTAGAATCTTTTAAAAAATACTTCATTCTACAAACTAATTTCCTCTTCTCTGGTCTCTGGGGAGCTAGAGGATACCTAGCCAACCATTATGCAACTTCTATGAATGTGAAGTCGCTGAATTCCCCTTATGCCTTTTATGGGGTCAACCCATGGGCTTTATTTTCTTACTTTTTACATTTTGGTCTTAGCATTTTGCTTTGCTAGCCTCCTCAACTCTTTTTATTTTTTATTAAAAAAAATTTTTTAATGTCTTATTTTATTTATGAGAGATACAGAGCTTGTGCGTGGGAAGGGCAGAGAGAGAGGGAGATCGGGAATCCGAAGCAGGCTCCAGGCTCTGAGCTGTCAGCTCAGCGCAGAGCCCAAAGCGGGGCTCAAATGCACGAACCAAGAGATCATGACATGAGCCAGAGTCAGATGCTCACTACTGACCGAGCCACCCATGTGCCCCACCTCAACTGTTTTTAAATCAGAGAACTGGGAGTTCTCCACAGGACCAAACCTACTTACTTTTTACATATGCCATTTCTGTAGAAGCTGTATTCTTAATACTGTTTGCTGCATTCTAATATTGTTCCCCTTTCCCTCTCTGTGCCGGGCAGTCTGTAATCTTATAGTGGTACCCTCTTTATAGTTGTATGCTTCCTAGGCCTGTTTTTCCAAATGATTGAAAATGTTTTCTGAGCACTTACCCACAGTAGGCACAGTGCTAACCCCTTCACATGCGTTATTTCATTTCCTCCACTCACCCCATTTTATAGATGAGGAAACTGAGGCTCAGAGAGGTTAAAGAATTTAAGGCCATACACCTAAAAAATGGTAGAGCAGGGATCTAAATCATGGCAGTCTAACGCCAGTAACTACATTCTTAACTTACCTGTTCAATTGTAAGTTCATAGTATTTGCGTAGCAGCTCTGAAACCAATAGAAAAAGTTTGGGAGCATCATTAAAAAAAAAAAAAAAAAA